TCTCTCTCTCTCTCTCTCTCTCTCTCTCTCAACCATGAAAAGCCTATGCATTGATCTTTTTAAGAATTGCAGGTTCTTCTTCTACTCTTACTTATTCCTTACTCTATCTACTGTTCAAATTAATTAAAGTCATTATTATATCCATTATTTTCTTTTGCTATCATTATATTCTAATGTAGAGATGCATTAATTGAGTTCAAATGATCCCACAAGTGACAGTGTAAGTTATATTGTTTGTTTCAATTTTAATTGTTCTCAATTTTTATTGTCCTGCCTCCTAATTCCTTGAAGAGCCAAAAATTTAATTAACCTTGCAAGCTAGCTACCTATTACTGAATACTACTTATAATTTAATTGGAAATACTCATTTTAATTTGCTTCCTGTTCTTCTAATTACAGTGCAACCAGTTTGGCGGGTACTAGGAGCAGCAGAGTTTTAACTTACAGGTTTCAGAGAACCAACTATCAGACGCATCTGCCCTCCACCAAACTTACATTCTCTTCCTACTCGTAAGATCTCTTTTTGTCCATAAACATGCATTCATTTCGTTCAATTTGTAAATATTATCATTTCTCAAGTAAGTTTCTTCTTCTTACATCATTTTTGTTTGTTTTTTCTGTTTCCAGTACTAAAACTTGCTTTGCAACTCTATCAACTGTAACCTCGGAGGTGGAAGAAAAGCAAACATTCAATCCTGACAAAGCTGGCGAGCTAGTTAAGGAGCTGCGGAACAGTTTCAATTCGGGTAGGACGAAAAGCTATGAGTGGAGAATGTCACAGTTGGAGAACATTGCAAAGATGCTTGAAGAGAAAGAGAAAGAGATTACTGAAGCTCTTTACAAGGACCTCTCGAAGCCTGAAGTCGAAGCATTTATATCCGAGGTCTCATTCTTTTCCTTTTCTCCATGCTGCTGATTAAATAAGTTCTGCTTCCTTTGTTTTTCATACATAATATTCCCAGTGTGTTTTCCAGTGCTTGTTCATATCATACACTACAATTGTGAATCTGAAAAGCAAAACAAAGGTCTATTCTAGAGGCTACTGGGACACTGATTTAGTATCTGTCAATGTGATACCCCAATTATGTTGGTATGCATATTATACGAGC